AAGGAAAACATGTACGCAGGCTGTTGAACAAGGACATCTAGAAGCATCTGCCTCTCAGCACTGCAGTACAGATGGAGACTTCTTCACTCTGACTGTGATCTTAAGACAGAGGCACATACAGCAATGGAGTCACCTAGCTCCTGTGAGTGTGCTACATTCTCAGGTTTAACAGCATTTAAAGAAACTAATGCTTGAAACTGTACGGCTGTCCTCAGCTAGTAGAAATCAGCTTAACAATGAGGTTTCTCCTGCTATGAATAAACAGCTATCAGCTTTGTCTAACAGAAACCACTCAGCCATTTTAAAATGGGAGTTTTTAGTGCAGGTAGTGCCTTTACCCTATACTGTCAGGTACACACTACAATTCTAAAAACAGTAGAGAAAGTATTAATTATCACAGCCCATCCCATCCCACCTGCCCCATTCATTTGTTCCTAATTCTCAACACAGAGAAGCTGCAGTGACTGCTAATGGAAATTGCAGCAGCTCCTCAGGAACTTTTCCATTAGAAAAGGAAGTCTTCTGATCCCTTGGGCTGCCTACCAAGAGCAGGTGCAGAATTCTGATCCCTGGGCTACTGTAAGAGATGGTACAATCCCCTCTGGAAGTAACGCTGAGCCTGAATGCATGCAAATCCCAGGATCTGAAGACTTATGGAAGACAACAGAAATCTCTGCAGTGAATCCTTTCTTAACCAGCATGTAAATGTCTTATGAGTCAAGCAGTTACAATTCATTAATATGATAAGTAAGCATTCTAATACTGATACCAATCATACTTTCTGTATGACTTGGGGAAATGTACATACAATTTATAAGTTTTGGTTCATGGTATGGAACAATACAATTGCTATAGGTTTGTATACTGCTGTAATATGTATCTTCCTTTGTGGACCAGGACTGTATCACATTTTTCCCTGGAAAGATATTTAGGGGAGGCAGCAAATTTGGTAACTGGACTCTGGCTATACAACAGGAATACTAAAAAAAGCAAACTAAAAGTAACTTGTTTGTAGGGAAGAGAGGATAGAGGGTAAAACCATACAAAATTCAAGTTAGAGGGAAAGATGCTGGTAGGACTTTTAATGGACTCTAAGAAATGTACTGAAGGATTTAGCCAGGAGAAAATAAAAGATAAACATGTTTAGCCAAGGACACTGTGGCTCAAGGACAAACCAGAAAAACACAGGACCGTGTTCTAGACACATCCCACAGAGATTAAAATACCTTCAGTGGATAAAACTTTCAGAGCATGTTATTTCAACATAGATAATAAATGTATTGTCTCATACTGTTTCAGTAAAGGACAACAGTGACTTCAGAATCCCTGTAAGTGTTTTGGGGCATATTCTCATATCTGTCATGGTCTCCCTCATCAAAGATATCCAGGATTCTGCGAAATTGTTTTTAACATGAAGTGAGACCTTGAGGTAGCTGCTCAGTTGCATCGGGCAGTTGAACAGTGGATTCAAGCACAAAGGTGAGAGCATTAAAATGTGAAGCCTTTCAAGCGTGTTCCTGAGACCCTAGCCTTGGGGCAGTCGCTAGATTCTGCCTGGTTTTCAAAGATAGAAAGCACATTGGATCCAAGATGTACAGCCCCAAAATTCACTAGGGTAAGTAATCGACTGGAGAGGGTAACCTGATCTCTAACAAATACTATTCAGATTCTCTTACAAGTTGTTCACGTTTCCAGTTCAAATCGTATCAGGACAAGAGATTCTTTTGAAAAATGGTAACCTCAAACTCCTTTTGATGAAATACGAAAACAGTCTAGTGGTAAGCCACAGTGGGGATTTTTCAGTGATAGTGAAGGCATCTCTCTTGTCACCTGAATCCACTATTTGCCATTTTTGACAATATTCTGATGTTGCAGCTCAACTCCAAACCTTCATTAAGAGTGTATATATAGAAAGCACTACTAAGCAGTCAGGGATTAAGAAACAGTAAACTTAAGGATGCCCACACATCCACATGAATGCACATTCTGCTCCCTAACGTATTTATTTTAATAATTTTGAACAAATAATAATTCAGATTTTTTTTAACCTGTCACACAGGTGAGTTTTTAGTATCTGGGGGCAGAGTCTTATAAATCAGTGCATGCTGACCTCAACAGGGGCACAGACCCACAGCCTCCGTTAGCTGGCTGAGAAGACACTTCAGTTGAGAAGCTCTGCAGGTTGTGCTACTGCAGCCTGTGCCTCAGCTGCTGTGTGCTGGCTCTCAGATGAACCTGGTTGAATCTATCTTTGTAGACATGATGTAAAAAAAAAATTAATTCTTTCAAAGCTATGAATGTAGGTGCAGTTGGGATTTTTCTTCTGTCAATCTGTGACACGATCTTAACAAAATCTGCATGAAGGACTTTCACAGTCTTGAGTACTAACAGTTTATTTACCCTCCTCATAGGGCAATCAGTAATAACAATAAAAAAAGACTCTTAATAATTCAGATTATTTTAAACTGCTGTTTGCCCCAGGTAAGTAGAATTTTGCAGAATAATTACTAACTTGGATTTAAATTGAAGTTGAAAAGATGAGATTTTCAAACATCTGCACTCAAACATTCTGTGAATACAGAGAAATTGCTGAAGAAAATCTTTATAACTTCAGCCAGACCAAAGACTTAGGTCAATACTGAGATCTTTCAACCAGCTCCTAAGTCTCTGGCAGATAGATATGCATTATTAGTCCCATAACAGAAACCAATTTTTCTCCATGGAGAACAGTGTTTACTGTCACTGCACTTCCAGAAACCTCAGTGTGGACACAGCTATTTGCCAAACCCACTACCAAGTTGAATAATTTCAGTATTTCTTTCGTGAATTGACTGCAGAAGCATACTATTCATTTAAATGGTCAATCCTTAAATGTGAAGCTTTTAGTTTCTACTATTTTTTTTTTCCAGAATAAACATTTCCTTAAAAACAAACAAAAGCCCAAACAAACAAACAAAGTAAAAGGACCGCAATCTGGAACCAATGACTACCTGAACCAATGTCAAGTTCAGAGAAGACAAAGAACTCACCTGTTTAGTATAGAACTTACTATTTCCCCCACCAGTAAATGAAGATTTTTTTTTCCTTTAGTAAAGATTTTGACCAAATTAAATGCCTACCAAGGCCAACATGTTGTTCACATTACACGTAGCAAGTCACATAAAGATATGCAGCAAGTGTTTAATCTTCAGTGGAAACTGTAGTGGTTAACCATGCAAACAAATTATTTAACATTTTCCTGGAGAATCATTTCATTTCCATCTCCAGAGTGGTTAAACATTTGTGTATCATTTCAGTAACACATGGTTAAGGTCAGGACATCCAGAGTTTGTATCCATTACAGCAAAAATGTGGAGGCTAAAGCTGTAAGGCACTTGATTTAACCAGACTAATAAATTTTCCTTCCCCTGTAGATGATCTAACTGAGGTAATTTAGACAACTGGAATTGGAAAACTTACACTCAGCTGAGAGAATCGTGAGTCTACAGAATGCTTAAATTCAGAAAAAGACTGAGGATAGCAACATGCAAATTGACTAAACTGTTGAAGAAATGCAATTGCAAGAAGAAGAAATGTAACATGGAATGTCTGTAAAGAGGTATCATACATGGGAACAACAACAACGACAAAGTAATTCTTCCTTTGGCTGTGAGGCCAGCGATGGTATTTCCAGTCTTACTGGAAGACCACTGAATAGCTCACAATCTGTCCCATTAGGAAGATATATAGAGAAAAAGAGTTGTGCAAGCCAGGAAAGATCACAAACACACATGCAAAAGCAGAATAAAGCCAACAGGATAGGAACAATAATAGAAGGTGAAAATACAACCTGCTTGCAGAAAACTAGGTGGTGTATCTAGGCATAAATGATATGCACTAACTTTAATTAAAAAAACTTCTTAATGGAAAGATGAAGTAGCTTGTCAAATAATCCAGCTTGGACTTGCAAGCTGTGGTGCTTTGAAATACTAGGTCGGTGTAGTTTTTCTTTAAAAACTGAATGTTGTAATCCCTGACATGGCAGAAAATACTTCTTGCCACTTCCCTTATGCTTAATATAAAAAGCAAGAGCAAAAGATGTATCAAAGATCATTTATTTCTGTGTTTCCAGAGGCAGACTGAAAGTAATTGAAGGGTTTAATTGCAAATGAAAAGTTTTATTTATTGCTCTGATAAAAGTGGTAGTGGCACACAGCTGTAATTGCCTTTGTACGACTCTCCTGCTACCATTTCAGTAACTGGGTTAACAAAAAGACTACTTAACACAAGAAGTTTTCTCCCTGTCTGTGAAACATCTCTGAAGCTGTAAACAGGGTGGTCCACATTGCCCAAAATCTGCATGACAGGATCTTCTCTCACAACACTATTTCTAATAATACTGCATGCTTCAGGATTAAAATCCTCCTTGTCTATCTGCATGAGAAATTCTAATTGGGGCAGTCTGCTCTTCCTGCTGCTATGAACATAAACTGAAGCTTGCAGTGCACCAAAAATCGAACTGACAGTTACCAGAACTTGAGAGAACAGCTCCCTCCTTTTAATTTTTTCTTTCAAAAGTTATCAAAGAATCTGCAGTTGAGTACTGGTTCCTCATCTAGCCATTCTGTTCTGTTGACCTTTTCTAACAACACAAATGGATCAATAAAGTACCACAATATATGATAAACTGGAAAATGGCACTGCAAAATTTAAAATAAAAAATAACCCGAAGGAAGCAAAACTTTGCATCATTTATACTTAAAACAGAAGAGGGTACTACAAAGATGTTCCATAGTGGTATGTATATATTTCAATGTAATATGCAGATTTCCTCAAGAAAGTATGCACACCACCATTAATCTCACAGGCAGAATTTGGCAATATATTATTTACAAGCAACACAAAACTCTCTTATTTAGCTTACAAAAATGCTAATGCTGCAATTTCCAAAGAGGTTCACATGACTTGCACACCTAAATCCCACTGAAACATGAGCATCCAGTTCAAACTCAGTTTATTTTTCACAATGAATTCCCCAGATCCCAAAACACACTGTAATTCCTTCTGCCAAGACAGGTTTTCACTATTATATCACCTTTCTCATAGAGCTCCTCCATTGCTCTCCAGGTTTCAGCTCGGACCTCTCGATTGCTTTTACCCGGAACATGTGCATCAGGCCAGTGTATTAAATAAAGATCTAAAAGAGAAACAGAACCAGACTACTCATTAAACTGTCCAAAAAAACCAAACCCCAGCAACAAAAAATACCCATACCATGTGAAACAGCATTTTCCCTCCATAATGGCCCCTAACACATTATCATCAAAATAGTTACAATTACTACTCCATGAACACTACTGTATGCACCTGTTTAGTTTTAATATATAATAATAAGCAGCATTATTATTATTATATATCATTAGACAAAATGATTTTGTAGCAACATTTTTTAAAGCATTTAAAAATATTATTTGAAGGGAACAAAATTACAGTTCACTAAATTTTATAAAATGTTAGCACAATTTCAAAGACAATTAAGATTTACTGCTGATTATCCAAGCTGCTGTTGAAACTGGCTGTTTCAGGAAAGCATTTCTGGTTTTTTGTGTTGTCTCCAAGCAAGAAAAGCCTATCCTTCTATTGGAAAAAGCAGCATTTCCAACAAAAATTTTAAAAAAGACATTTACATATATTGGACTGACGAGTTCCAAATCGGACTACCTACATTTCACAGATGATAGGACCTGTATCTCATTTCTAGGTTTGTAGACACTGCTAGACATTCTGAAGAAGAAACTTAGGAGATACTCTGAAAACAGTGACATTTCTATCTAAATCCTAACTGCACATCAGACAGGTAACTGCAGGCATCCCAGTCAAGGAGGTGTTGGTCTTTGCCACTTACATTACTCTGACACAAAACAGGAAAAGGAAATAAATGCATGACTGAGATGTGCATCATTGGCTTTGTGCTTTATAATATTTCTCTTTTTTTTGGCAGTTCAAATAGAGAGTTAAGAAATTAAAAAAAAAAAGACTCGTTTGCAATGAGCAGAGTTTTTAGTTCTTTGAATGCACGACACGATTCACTTATAGCACCTCTTTGTGAAAACAGAGATCCTCTGCCACAGGGTTTTTTTATTCACATTTAAGGACTACACTAATGATTACTACATCACTAGGCTGGTATATTAGCTTTCCACCTCTATAAATACAAATTCAACTTAGATTTAAGTGGAAAAGCTAACATGAAATTCGCGAGTTCCCATTGGGTACATCACTGCAACATCATTAGAGGCAGTATTGTGCTTACACTAAGAATCCACAACAGCAGAGAATTTTGTACAGTACAGATGTATTGAGGAAAAAATTACTTTGCGTTTATCCCAAAAATCATGGGCTAAATTTGGGATATCAATATCACTTTCCAATCTCAATAACCCATTAGACCTTTAAACACAATTGCTCAGACAGCCAATTAACACTCACACATGACGATTTGCAGCATCTGGATTTATGTCACATTTAAAGAGAAAGTTACTCATTCTTTGCCCTTAAAATACATAAAATCCACTCCCAATTTAGAAGAGCAAAAAACTCCACAGGCAGTCTTGTACATCGCTGATCTGCGAATAATTATTTCTTTTCTAATTACTCTAAAGAAAGAAGTTGTATTTATTAATAAAAATAAATCTATGGTATCGGACTAAATACCAATTTCCGTGATGTGAAAACTAATATTGGGATATTGAGTAAAGCATTTGGTAAGGTTATGTTCAAAACTCAGGACTACTCTAATTCTATTACAAATAAAGTCACTCTTAACATTTTCACTGACTTATATTAGCAATCCCAAGGATTAGCATTAGGAATTGCTCATACTAGGTGTTCGTTTTGATCCAAAATTACACAAGCCATTGGCAGTACTTATTGCATATAGACTCTCAGTGTTTCATTTAAAAACTTTTTTGCTTGGATGAAGCAAATATCCTACATAAGTAGGTGTAAGTAACTGGTATCTGATGCATACCTCATGTGAAAATGGAAGAATTACATACCTGTAATTGCTGCTTGTTATATTTTCCAAATCAGACTAATAATAACGGCTTAACTACGCAGAAACACGTTGTATTGCACTAACAAAAAATAA